ATTGTTATTTAAATAATTCCTATTTGTCATAGCGCATAGTAGAACAGATGTGATTTTTTTTTCCTATCACTTCTACTAGTATAACAAAAAGTAGAACAACGGTGAATAGACCGTCAATAGTGCGTGTCTATCGTCTCGTCGAGGAAATGTCAGATTTTCTTATACTTATCGGCTTTTTTTTAAAATTACCGTCTATTTTTTCTAATTTGATAAACATGAGAGACTAATGCGTCTTCACCCTCTATAGTGGCCTCCCGCGAGTGAAAGATGTGCCTTAGATGAAAGGTAGTTCACCTGTGTGTGTGTAAATGTCAGTTTTGTCAATAAATTTGGCAGGGATAAATAGTAGCCTTTGTGCTATTCTAGACCACATATATTATGATCTATTTATGTGCCTAATCTCGTCCAGCTCCGGAAAGCCGTTTTGGCGTGATTGAGGTTATTTTGTTTTTTTTTTTATAAAGGACTTTACAAACATACATGAAACGGACAGAAAGAACACCCAGACTCAGAACAACAATTTGTGAATCATACAAACATACAACAAAACAAACATACTTACGTTTTGAAAAGTTAAGATAATATGTGTCTAATTATTATTATTTTTGATAGAGAATATAATTATACTGTTAGTTTGGAATTGACAAGTTAAAAAAAAAGTTCCCCGTTCAAACTTGCCTCCATTTTTAGGGTAGTTTTAAAAAGTTAGTAACAACGTTTTTATTGCTTTTAATAAAGAATATTTACTGTGAGTTCAAAAGCGCTACTACCAAAAATAACGAAGTTTCATATATATATTTCCAACGCCCATTTTACACCCTTAAAGAGCCTTCCTTAGTACACACCTACGTCACCTAAGAACATTGTGTAAAATTTCATGCTTCTAGACCCAGCGGTTTCTGCTGTGCGTTGATGGATCAGTCGGTGAATCAGTCTGTCAATCAGTCTGTCAATTTCTTCTTTTTTACAACAAAAATTCCAATCAACATCAAAAATAATAAAATTCGAGGTAACATAAGAAAGTGCGCTCGGACCTTTACTATTCATTTTATACATAAATTGGCTACTTATTTGCCTACGACCACAAACTGTATGATGAGAATGGTAAAAAGATAACACTTCCTTAGTTATATTATTTTAAAGTACCGGATATCTTTACATACGAGTAGTATAAAAATTGTGTTGTACGATTAGAAATTTTAAACTAAGCAACGGATTTTATTCAGCGGGTTTTAGCAATAGAGAGAGTGATTCAAGAGGAAGGTTTATATGTATAACTAGCTGAGACCCGCGGTGTTACCCGCGTTTGTTGTTATAACCGCGGTCAACGCCGCGGGGCGAAGCTAGTCTAAAAAAGTAGCCTAAGTTACTCCTTATGTCATCAGCTATCTGCCAGTGAAAGTCCCGTCGAAATCGGTCCAGCCGTTCCAGAGATTACCCGGAACAAACAGACAGACAGACAAAAATTGTAAAAAATGTTATTTTGGCAAATGTACCGTGTAAACATACATAATTATGCATTTAGTAAAAAGCGGTTATTTTAATATTACAAACAGACACTCCAATTTTATTTATTTGTATAGATTTGACATTAACATTGAACATTCCGACCAATTAGAACCGGTTTCCGAACGTTTGAGTATTTATAATTATCGCTGTAGTGAGAGATTCTATACAAACATGCCAACAGTTACGTCAGCTCTTACATCATATTGAACTAGGTGACTCCGAGTTAGTCATTTTAAAGTCATAAAATTAAATTGTTCCTCGAGCTTTTTCCTAAACTATTTTGAAGTCAGTTTTGAGTCTACTACGATACTTCTGAACTTCCATTTTTATACGCGGCGATTTCCAGCAGACCTCTACAACCCAAGCACTAAGCGATTTCGAAGTTCTGTATAAAGACCGTAACGATTGCCAAAGATGTTCGTATGGCAATCAAGAACGACGGATTAACATGCCCTGCGAAGGGGTCTCCATTATGTCAAGAATGTTCACCCATCCATAGAATGACCTGGCTAGGATTGCTTAACTTTGCGATTTGTTAGTACACTCGGTTACTACTTAGCCACAAGGCCATAACATAACATAGAATGTTTATGGGACAGATTTGTTTCAGCACAATTACGGCCCGGTGCGATCCAGATATTATAATACCGCTGCCTCACAGAAAGTAGTACTGAGTTATTTTGTCGTTGCTTTTTACCGAGTGAGTGAGGTTATAGGAGGACTTACCAATAGACAACAAGACTTAATTATGGGGGGCAAAGACAAATATAGGTACATAACTGACTGCACGGATGGCGTAGTGGTTTAAGCGGTCACCTCGCCGCTTCCTATTGCGCTGAGTGTTGTGGGTTCAATCCGCAGATGGGACAAAACTTCATCCACAAATTGTTGTTCTGAGTCTGGGTGTTCCTTGTGTCCGTTTTATGTAGGATTTATGCCTAGTGCGGGAGTTGTCTTATGTATAAGAAATAAAGAAGATAACTATATACACAGAGTATTAGATAAACGCTCCCGAAAACGAAAACAGTCGATAGTGGTATTGATAGCTTTGCTCATGGGTTAAAAAAAAATCAATCCGAAGCTTTGAGAAAACAATTATAACCTCATTTATATATCACCAATTATCCGTTTTGTGACGGATTAAGAATACGGAATGTCATCACCTATTCATCCCGTGGGTGTCATAAGAACCGACTAAGGGAGCAACCTACGCAGGACAACAGCACTGCATAGAGAAGGAAAACTTGATACAAACCCTATGCCAACCCGTCTGGCCAACGTGTTATAGTAGGCCAAAACCTCCTTTCTAAGGAGAGGCCTTCGTCCAGCAGTGGACTATTATAGGCTGTTGATGAATATATCATCAAAACATGCACTATGAAGTCAAAATACTTCAACTGTGTGTTTAAAATAAAATTATTTATTTTTATTCTATTTCATATCGTTTACTGTTGTATAAACGATGGCATTGTTCTTAAACCAGACCGAGAACGAGGCATTATTGTGGTCCAGGTCACAGATTAAATTCCAGGAAATTTATCAATAATTTGAGATATTTTAATGTGATTTCAAACAAAAGCTCTTTGTTTTCATACGAAGATAATTTATATTCCGTACGTTTTGTTAAACATAGTTCTAAGAATGAAATACAACATTTACATTCTTAGAGTTTGGGACTTTCGTGACAGTAATAACAAATCTGTATTTGTTTTATCTTAACTTTTTATAGAAATTGGCCGGTGGTTTATTTATATACCTATAGTAAATATCTAAGATTTTTTGTGCAATACAGGCGGCAAATGAGCAGACGTGTCATGTAATGTACTAACTTTTAAACTTTCGCGTTCCATGATAATTAATATTATTTAACGGGAATTAACGCGATCTCTTATTTAGGGTACGTGGTCACCACGGCCGGTGCAACCTGGTCGAAACGTCAGGCAAACCAGAGGTATGTAATACCCTAAATAAGAGATCGCGTTAATTCCCGTTAAATAATATTAAGTGTCATGTAATGGAAAGCGACTACCGCCGCCCATAAACACCTGTAATTAAGTTCACCTTTTGAGGTGGTATAACGCTCTTTTCTTGAAGTTGTTGAGGTCATATAGGTGTGGAAATAGGGCAGGCGACAAGTTGTTCCACTGATTAGATGTGCGAGTCAAAAAGTATACAAAAGTATGTTTCTCTCTGCCCGTGTCGTGGATGTCGTAAGAGCTGACTAAGGGAGCAAACTATCCAGGACAACAGCACTGTAAAGAGAAGGAAAACTTGAAAAAAACCCTAAACCCTGGCCAGCGTGGTATAGTTAGCCAAAAACTCCTTTCTAAGGAGAGATCTACATCCAGCAGTGGACTATTAAAGGCTGCTGATAATGTATCTCTATAAGTTAAAATGAAAGTCGGAACTTTTAAACTTTCGCGTTCCATGACATATGCGTGGACGTTTAGATTAGGTTTTTCTGAACATTGTCACAGGCACGGTAAACAATTCAAGGGTGTAAAATACCTGTTCCACGATTGCTTTAATATAACATAATATTAGACAAAACATAGACATTGCGTAGACTGGACTAATAGAGTTATAGTGGAATAATAGAGAAAGTTATGCTTTTGCACAAATGGACTGGTTCGATAGAAGTTATACAACGGTCTCACAGAAAACCGGAGGCTCAATGTGAATCCTTATTATTTTCTTTAAAAAAACTACTCTAAATTAGTCTTTATTTTACTAATCATTGGTTCCGTTATTCGAAAACAACGTTTCGTATTCTGAAAACGTAGTACTTGACAGGACTAAACGAGTTTTTAGTCATTTTTAGTTTAGTTTAGAGAGTTCGACATTGGTGCTAATTCTGTTGTTCGAAAACCCTCTAAACTAAACTAAAAATCACTAAAAATTTGTTTTGTCCTGTCAAAAAACGTTTCCTGTTCTGAAAACGTAGAATTTGGCAGGACTAAAATTTTTTTTTAGTGATTTTTAGTTAAGTTTAGAGAGTTTTTGAACAACAGAATTAGCACCATTGGTTTTCGAACAACAGAATTAGCACATTGGCAGAAACAAGAGTTTTAACCTTTGTCTCATTACATGGATTTATAGATAGCTCATTCTTCGCTCTATTTACTTCTGCGTCTTTGAAAATAAACCATTTATATTTGAATTCTTATTATTATTATTTTTATTATATTTAAAGAACGCCCGCATTAGGAATATATCCTGTGTCGCAGGGAACTTTACAAACATACATGAAACGGACACAAAGAACACCCAGACTCAGAACAAAAATTTGTGGATCACACAAAGTGTCGTCCCATGTGGGGTTTAAATCCAAAACACACGGCGTAGTAGGAAGCGGCGTGGCGGCGGCTTAAACCACTAATTGAGTATTATAGAACCAACGGTGAATTAAATTTCTGAAACTAAAGAATTAAAAAGATCAAAAAATTTACCCAAATTTAGACATGGTTTTAATGATATTTATTTTGTTTCAGACTGCCAATTCTGCTGCTGGTTAGCCAAATGACAGTTTTAATCGTGGCGCAGTATTCCGACCCCTCATCTGGACCATATTGTGGTAAAAAGAACATCTGCTGCAAGGGCAGGGAAGACAGGTGTGCTCATGAAGTTATTTATGAAGGAGGAGGTAAAATATAGTCGATTTTAATCGTTTAATCTGTCCTCTTGTGAAATGCGTTTTCTTTCGAAGTAATGATGGCTACGAATCGTTACTCTTTCAAGATATTTTTTTTTATCACTCAGTGAAAGGCAACGAAAGAATTGCTTAACACCGTTTTCTGTGAGGCCGTGGTATCACTCCGGTCGAGCCGGCCCATTCGTGTATAAGCATGGCTCATCCACGGTAAACGAAAAAAGATAAAAGTAAAGGAGCTTTTACTTAATCATCATCATCATCATGAACAGCCTTTAATAGTCCACTGCTGGACATAAGCGTCTCCTTCTCTCTGCAGTTCTGTTGTTCTGCGTAGTTTTCTCCTTTAGTTAATAAATTCGCAAAATCAAGCTTCTAGTTCATCATCTAAAATGATATACATATATACATATAAATGCAGATACGTGCAGATACGCATTGGCCGTAAGAAATCAAAATATCAACATATTCCTCGTTCGTATAGGTCATTATCTTTAACAGTATCAGAAGCACAAATCAAAGTCCAGTTAGCAATAGTTAGTTACAAATATAACCGGAAAGAGGACAAAATTACTGGCCAAGTTTTTTACTAGGTACTACCGGGTTGTACGCTAATTCTTAATACTCACGGACTTTCATATAAGGTTTATACAATGAATTCTGATACTATCCTAGAATATTATACCTTGTTAGATAGCTGACAAAACGTACATGTTGGTAACATATTGACAACTTAACTGTCATAGCTTTTTTTTTAATTTTGCACTAAGAAAAAATATATATTTTATTTTGCTGTTATCAACCAACTACTTCGGCCCGAAAATTATAGAACAATGTATAAACCACATAAAAACAGTAAAAAAAAAGAAAAAAATGGAGATATAGTTTATAGTCCAATAGAAGATGGTTTGGTTTGGGAAATGGTATTTCATAGTGAAATGTATAAATAATAGCCAGTACTACCTCCTAAAGTATCTAGGTAGAGTTATTCACTAACCCTGTATAATTTACATAATTATTACCAGACATATTTGTGCATAGTCTTGCTATTTTGGTGTACTATAAAGATTTATCTATCTACCTATATATTTTCTTCTTTATTCTACTAGTACGAAGACATTTGACGTACAAGTTAATACACAAATGTGTATTCCTGATGTGCCGTCTCCCTTTTTTTTTTTTTTCCGTGCTGAAATCCCCTCGGATACCACCTGTCGGTGGCATGTCGGACTCGAACCGACTAAAACCGCACGCCTTCGCCGGGTACTAATAGCCGGGGAACCAGGTATACCCTAGAAAGGAAGTCCCTGGTGCAAATGTGCCGTCTCCCTATTAGGAATATTCTGAGAACGGTATAACTGCGAAAAAAATTAAGTCCCGTATATACACTGTTATCTGTATCCGTATATACATTGTTAATCCAGTAGATCACCAATATACGTATTATTAGTGTATTGTAAAACATTTATGATATATCTGTCTGTCTATCTTTTTCTTACAGACACAATGTGTTACTGCGACCAATTTTGCTACAGGCCACATGGACGAGGCGACTGCTGCGAAGATTACCATACTGTTTGTGTTTTGAATGGAACTACTACTCCGGTTCCAACAACTGAACCTCCTACTCCAACCACTCCAACTGTCACTGAAACCACCCGGGCACCAGCTTTTTTAAATGCAACCTGCAGTACATCTTGGTAAGTTTTACAGTTATATGTAATCTTATGAGCGGGGTATATAATAAATAAAAGTTGTCGTTTAATTACTTTTATTGCACTGTATTTACAAACGCTCACAATAATAAACTAGAAATCACTTATTAACTGGTTAGTCGAACTAGAAATTCACTCCGATGTTAATTCGCTGTGTCGTAAAACGATACTGTGTCCAACGGCCAACACGCTCCGCTTTTATAGCGCTATCGAATTTACTAGAGAGATCCCTAGTATTCGATAGTCCGTTCCAGACAAACAAGAATATTCCAGAATCAGTCACGCATTACTTGCAGCGGCATGTAGCGCTGTAAGGATGAGAACTATTAACCACCATCTTAATAGATGTACTTTACTCGATACTAGATGGCGCTGTCCTCGACATTCCATACAATTCTGAAACAATCGAACCTTTTAATTAGAATTTAGTATTAAAGGCCAATCTATGCATATAAAATTACTTGCCCTGAGTGACTGATGCATCAACGCAAAGCCCTAACCTCTGAGACTACAAACTTTTGGCACATGATTGTCTTTTGTTATAAGATTTTAACAAGGCTTTCAATAAAGTATAAGTAAGTAAGTAAGTATTTTTGGAAATTTTATTCCTAAGGGGGTAAACTTAGAGATGAACGGTTGTATGACAGTTCCAAATTTTTAATGTTAGAAACACGAAATAAGAAACAACAGTGAACACGCTGGCAATAGCTAGTACCTTGAATCCTTGATACCCATACCTACAGTTGACCCCGTCCTATCGTCCTCAGGAATGACATGACCTCGTGAAGTAGCCTTAGTCAGAATTTCTTCCCGTTCATTCCTAGTTAAGATTAGCGTCAGATAGGTGACCGCTCAAGAAAGGAACCAAAATAAACCCTTAGTAATCTCACGCATTGTGACGATCACAAAAAATAATAGTTTATGATGATGACATCTGACTTATTTATATGCTGTAGTTATATTCAGAATAATCTTCAAGATTCCTAAAAGTTTCCTGTGTACACAAAACTACTGTGTAAAAAAAACGACGGGTTGCAGTCTGGGAGTGCCAGCAAATGAAAACTTGAATATTAACGTTGTGCATTTTTGATATTCTGGAATGGTTAGGGAATAATTTTGCCCCGTTATGGAGGATTGGCTCGAGAGGCGTCACGGGACCCTCTCATACCGACTGACGCAGGTGATCACTGGGAAAGGATGTTTCGGGGATCACCTGTGTCTGATCCGCAAGGAGCCAACGCCTGAGTGCCACCACTGCGATGGCCAGACCGTGGACACGGCTCTCCACACGCTGGCAGAGTGCCCGGCGTGGGTTGAGCTGAGGTGAGACCTCGTGGCGGCCATCGGAGTGGGAGGTCTCTCGCTCGATAGCCTGATTGCGGCTATCGTGCGGAGCGAGAGTGCGTGGAACTTTGCCGTCTCCTTCTGCGAGCAAGTTATGCTCGCGAAGGAGACGGCGGAGCGGGACCGGGAGAGGTTTAGGACTCTCCCGGCCCGCCAGGCCCGGGAACGGGCCAGGTACCGCAGGCGACTCAGGCGCCGGAGGTCGCAGAACGACCTCCGTCCTCCATAAGCTCAGGCCTGGGGGTGACAGGTGAGGCCATAAAATTATATAAACAACATAAAATTTGTAAACAAACCTTACATCGACTTAGGAACTATAAAATTACTCTTTAAAATTTAGATATGTATAAATATGTTTTAAAATTATGCTTTGGGAGTCGAAAAATATATCTGCATCTGGACTATACTGAAGAAACTCATTGATAAGTCTGAATGAGAGAAAACTTAATTATAGTATTCGACTGTTGACTCAGAATTTCAAAAATTGCTCATTTGTAGAGGGCCGTAATAGTCACGAAATTGTACAACGAATCATTTACAAAATAAATTTAACACAATATACGCTAAATTATTTGTCATATAACAGCAAAACCTTTAAAATTGCCGCAACTTCTAAGAGGCATACAACTTCTTATAGTTGTCAAAACAAACTTCAAACCATCAATTCATTTCATTCAATAAAATCTAGCTATAATATTAATAATCAATCACACAAGGGTTTAATCACCTACTATTTTCATGCTGTAGGAAAACCTAAAGTATGTACTGTCTCAACCGCGTAAGGATACAATTCCCTACTACTTTCAGGCTGTAGAAAAACCAAAGATGCGGGACAATAACAAATAAGAGTTTTTTCGTAAACAATAGTAGCCTTCTCGGTTTTTCATCAAAATATTGCTGGAGCTTTGAATAAACTCCAAGATCTTGAGATGGCTATTCATGAACTTAACGAATCAGGTTTAAACATTGAAGTTGTTTGTTTAAGTGAACATTTTATAAGTGAAGGTGAGGAAAATTATATGTTGTTGAATGGGTATAAGCTTGTAGCATTTTACTGTCGAAAACAACGTCGAGGTGGCACTTGTATACTTTGCAAAAATAGATATCAGTGCACTGAAATAACTGAGATTAAAAATATGAGTATTGAGAAACAATTCGAAATATGTGGTGTTGAAATAAAAAACAGTAACGTTGTTGTAATTTGTGTATACAGAACTCCGAACTCAAACATAAACATATTTTTTGAAAACTTTGAAAAATTGCTTATAAAAATACAACATAAAAAATGTAAAGTTGTAATTGCTGGGGACTTTAATATTAATTTTTTGCAAAATGATAGTAATAGCATTAAATATAATGAACTCATCTTTAATTATGGTATGCAATGTCATATTACCGAGCCGACACGAGCAAATAAATGCATTGACAATATTGTTAGCAATATTCCAATAGCGATTGGAAAAACATATAACCTTTGTCTATCAGATCACAATACTGCTCAAGTTTTAGGATTCAAGTGTCAAAGTATTAATGCCATAGCACATTATTTTGTAAATAAAACTGATCTTAGTAAAGAAAATATAAATAAATTTGTTGAATGTATAAGTGGTTTGTCCTTTTCAGAAATATATGAAGTTTCTCAAGTTTGATAGGTTTCATAATTAATTAATACTATTTTATAAGCTATGTTTCCCTATCATTAAAGTTAAAAAAATCTACAAAAGTAATAATATAAAATGGCTAACTAAGGGACTTAAAATTTGCAGCAAAAATAAGAGAAAACTAAGATTTGCATACTACAACAATAGAACTGTCGAGAATAAAAATAAATTTAAAACGTATTCAAAAATACTAAGAAAGTGCATTAATCAATTACAATCAACCAGTCACAAAAAGTATATTGCCTACTCTAGTAACAAGTGTAAAGCTACTTGGTATGTTGTTAAACGCAATATTGGTAACCAACCATCCCAGGCATGTATCGATAGGATTGTTAACAATAACGCTACAATAGTTTCGGGACCCCATATAGCTAATGTATTAAATAATTACTTTATTGAAATTGTAGAAAAGAATATAATACAAAATGAGAAAATCACTTCCAATTGCATCAACTGTAATAATTTAAATAATAATAACAATGAACATAGTATATTTTTAGAACCCACAAATGCAATAGAAGTCTTCAATATAATTAAATCACTGAAAAACACTAAATCGTCAGGCCATGATGATTTCACCACAGAACTAATTAAACCCATATCTCAGTTCATATCAGAACCATTAGCGTACATAATAAATTTATCACTTGAACAAGGCTGTTTTCCAGAGAACTTGAAGCTATCTATAATAAGACCTTTACACAAAAAAGGTTCCAGAACTGATAAAAATAACTATAGGCCAATAGCCCTAACCTCTATTTTTTCTAAAATTTTTGAAAAGGTAGTTAATAAAAGGGTGATTAGTTTTTATAATAAATATGACGTATTGGCTAAAGAACAATTTGGGTTTCGAAAGGGTAAATCTACTCAACATGCAATATTTTCTCTAATGAAATCTATAATTAACAACATAAATAAAAAAATACCATCTTTCGTTATATTTTTAGATTTAAGCAAAGCGTTTGATTTTGTGAGTCACGATGTACTAATTCAAAAATTGGATAAAACTGGCGTAAGAGGTATAGCCTCACAATGGATAATTCATATTTAAGCAAACGAAGACAAATTACAAGAATAACCAAATTCAATAGTGGCACTAATTGTTTACAATATTTCGATTCGGAACCTAGGTTTAACTATTACGGAGTACCGCAAGGGAGTATTTTGGGGCCATTACTATTTCTTATTTACATCAATGACCTCCCTCAAGCAATGCAAAATCGCAAATCTGTGCTATTTGCAGACGATACTACAGTGTTAATAAGTGGTAATAATTTAAATTCATGTGAACATGAAGTAAATGAGACACTTCAGAATATCATCATATGGCTTGAATAAGTTTTGTTTTATCTATATTAATTTTTAAATGATTCGCATTTAAAAATTAATATAGATAAAACAAAACTTATTCATTTCAGAACAGTAAAAACAAAACAATTTGACATTTCAGTTAAATTTAATGATCAAGAAATAGAACAAATACAGAGCACAAAATTTCTAGGTGTTACAGTGGACGAACATCTGACGTGGAAGTATCACATAGAAAACGTTTGCAAAAAGATGAATAAGTTTGTGTTTGCATTAAAAAAAGTCAAAGAGGTTGCTTCAAGGGAGACTGCTTTAATGGTCTACCATGCATATGTTTGCTCCATAATTCGTTACGGCATTATTGTTTGGGGTTACTCATCAGAAATAACGCGAGTATTTTTAGCACAAAAGAAATCGCTTCGTGCAATATTCGGTTTGAAATGGACAGATTCATGCAAGCCTGTTTTTTTATCTCATAATCTGTTGACTGTCCCTGGCATATTCATCTACGAAGTAGCTAAATTCGTGAAGTGCAATAAAGAGCTCTTTGAAGTCAAGGACAATACCAACAAACGTAAAAATACTCACTCGTATTTAAAATTACCAGTACCTCGCCTAGAAATTTTTAGGGTGAGCTGTGTTTACATGGCACCACTTATCTATAACGCGTTG